TTACTCAATGACAGGTCCCAATAGTTTATCCATCCGTGCCTGGTCTGTCACGTTCTTTAGCAAAGTTTTCTGCTTCTGTCTGCTAGCAGACGCGGAAGCCAAAGCTATCCCATCAATCAACCCTTCAATGATGGATGTTGGCGCAGAGCCTTGGTTAAATCTTAATTGTGGAGCGCGGACTCTGCCCACATAGGGTGTACGGATGGCCAATACCAATACTCTCGACGACCAGGTTGCACTCCCAAAAAGACGCGTACTATCACTGTATCAGCATAAGATGTTTTATTTTCTTGTGATGTGTTGCAAACAGTGTAAAACAATACGAACAAACAACGTAGTACGAACAACAATACAGCAGTACGAACAGATGCACAATACAAAGAAGTACGGTTTTCTGAAATAACATAAAAATAATAAATACACAAATAATAACAAGATCGGGGTAGTAACGTATCAGTAGGCCTATACTATTGTAAACAAACCCTAAATATCTTTGTTACGTCACACAATCACCTAATGACCAACTATGGCATCACTAACGGTTATAATAAATAAACACACAAATTACCTCTGCCGGCACTTTCAAGGCCTGACAGGAGAACAAATACAAACCATGTAAAACTTAGAATACAAAAATACATGCATAAACTTACTTGACGTTGTCTACAAGCTACAAACAGGCCAAGGCATTTGTTGTATGTTTTTTCAGGGACCGGTTGTACGTCGAGCTCTTTCATCGCCCCTTTATATTTCGAACCACTGAAATACATAAAAACAAGCGAATATGTTGAATTGTAACATAATTTTTTTATTTGCATCTGTATCAATTTGGCCTATTTAAAATGTTGAACATTGACACATCATACATTAGAATGTAAGTAAACAGAATTAACAGTTTCGCCAACAAAATTTTTAACTTTTGTGAATATTCGTCGAGTAATATGTTTCTGAAAAGTTATTTGGGAAATAAATTATTTTTTTGTAAATTGTAAAACTAGGTTAAACATTTAAAAATGTATAATTGAAATTTAAAAAAATGTTGTATTGTTAATACCACCAAATAAATTTGTCACAATAAGGGGAATTTTGCAAAATCGATCATTTCACAAACCTTAACAGATTGGGCTATGATAGAATTTGAATTTCATGTTTATTAATTTATATAGTACTTACTCAATGACAGGTCCCAATAGTTTATCCATCCGTGCCTGGTCTGTCACGTTCTTTAGCAAAGTTTTCTGCTTCTGTCTGCTAGCAGACGCGGAAGCCAAAGCTATCCCATCAATCAACCCTTCAATGATGGATGTTGGCGCAGAGCCTTGGTTAAATCTTAATTGTGGAGCGCGGACTCTGCCCACATAGGGTGTACGGATGGCCAATACCAATACTCTCGACGACCAGGTTGCACTCCCAAAAAGACGCGTACTATCACTGTATCAGCATAAGATGTTTTATTTCTTGTGATGTGTTGCAAACAGTGTAAAATAATACGAACAAACAACGTAGTACGAACAACAATACAGCAGTACGAACAGATGCACAATACAAAGAAGTACGGTTTTCTGAAATAACATAAAAATAATAAATACACAAATAATAACAAGATCGGGGTAGTAACGTATCAGTAGGCCTATACTATTGTAAACAAACCCTAAATATCTTTGTTACGTCACACAATCACCTAATGACCAAATATGGCATCACTAATGGTTATAATAAATAAACACACAAATTACCTCTGCCGGCACTTTCAAGGCCTGACAGGAGAACAAATACAAACCATGTAAAACTTAGAATACAAAAATACATGCATAAACTTACTTGACGTTGTGTCCTCAAGGGTCGTCAAGCAGTAACTTGAACATTAAATCACGATAACTTGACTGAATTACTTAGCAATATTACAATAAAAACTGTGAGGAATATCAATAATACACTATTATTAGCAGTACAAATAAATACCGTACATTTTACTAACACTACAAGCCTAAGTCGTTCACTAATTAATCAATTATAAACCCTAAAATACCACTCTCAGACCGACGTCAAAACAGCCATCAGCCAGAAACTTCCAGAATCGTGCAGCGCGCGCGGTCCCCTGACGTCACTTCCACAAAGTCATTGTGGTGCAATAACCAAGCATTCGATAAGCTGGTCCATGACGCCAACTTGCGGGAGAAATGATTTTACTTCAAGATATTGGCGGTAACACCCTGGCCCCTTGGAAATTGAAAATTTGTGTCCACATACACCAATTTACAGATTTCCACACACACATTCAAACAAATAACAAACACACAAAATATAACGAAATTGTGTCATGCAAAAGAAATTTCATGCAAGAGCTAACTTGTTAATTACAAGCATGCAATAAAATAAGCTTTGTAACAGGTCTTTGAAGAACAGAATATTGGGTCTGAACACTAACAGATCGAACAAGGCCCTCCTTGCCAGGAAAAGTCTTGATAACTCTACCCAACAGCCAGGTATTTCGGGGCAAGTTATGATCCACAATGAGAACAATGTCATCCTCGCTCATATTACGTTGAGGTTTGTTCCACTTTTTTCTTTGTTGTAAAAGAGGTAGATACTCCTTTCTCCATCTTTGCCAGAAAATATCTGCCAAATACTGGACCTGTTTCCAGCGTTTCCTCGAATACACATCCTTTTGTTCAAACAAACCTGGTGGAAGAACAGGTTCTTGTTTTAATAACAATAATAAATTTGGAGACAGTGGTGTCAAATCATCTGGATCACTTGAAACTGTTGTAATTGGACGTCCATTTATAATAGATTCACATTCACACATTAAAGTGGATAGAGCCTCGTCGCTTAAAGTTTGTTCCCGACAAATTGAATTAAATACCTTTCTGACAGTCCGAATTTGTCTTTCAAAAACACCACCATGATGTGAAGCGGAAGGTGTTTGAAATATCCATTTTATATTTTTCTGAAGCAGGAAATCATGAACTTGCTTCTGATTCCAACATTTGATTGCTTGTCGAATGCTTGTCGAAGTTCATGTTCAGCGGCCACAAAATTTGAACCATTGTCACTTCGAATTTCCAACACTTGACCTCTACGAGAAACAAATCTCCTTAAAGCCATTATAAATGAGTTCATGTCCAAATTTTGAGCTATTTTCACATGCACTGCGCGTGTGGTTAAACATGTGAAAAGAACCCCATATCGCTTAACATCACTTCTTCCTTGACGAATGAAGAAAGGCCCAAAACAGTCCAAAGCCACATATGAAAATGGTGGTTTGTCAGGAGTTACTCTATCAACAGGCAAATCCGACATTTCTTGATATTCGGGTTTACGCTGCTTTCTTCTGCACAAGACACAATTGTTGATAATTTTCCTCACTAATGAAGTCCCCTTTACAATCCAATAGTTCTGCCTGATTTCTGCAAGAACATATTCTCTTCCATTGTGTCCAGTTGTCCTATGAATATATTCAACATCAGGGATGCAATAAGACTTTCTTTTGGTTATAACAATTGGATGCTTAGCATCATAACTAATTGGAGCATCTTGATTCTACCTCCAACACGAAGAATATCATTTTCAAGAAAGGACGCAGCGAAATCAAAGTGCTTGATTTTGGAATTTCTCGATTATTTGACAGCAAACGTATTTCTTCGCAGAAATATTTTGATTGTTCATATTTGATTATCTCCAATTCCGCATTTCGTAGTTCAGTAACAGAAGGTGGTTGAATACGATTTTCTTTTGGCAGATTAGAAGGCAATTCATTTGCTTTAAGTTTTGAAAACAACATATTTTTATCTCGTAATATCCAGGCAAAAGCTTTCTTCAGACGAAACCAGTCTGAATATTTTGAAATTATACGATCTAGGACCGATTTTTCACTTGCTGTATTTGAAAAAACATTGTATCGATTCTTTTTTCAACCTCAAGATTATCCGTAGAGCAATTGTTCATAAAATCGGGCTGTAAAGGCCATTCCTCAGCAGCTTGCCACAAAAAATCAGGACCAGATTTCCAGTATTGGCAATTCAAAAACGCATCAACTGAAAGTCCCCTTGAGGCAACATCTGCTGGGTTCAGTTGTGAAGGCACATAACGCCATTGTTCAATTCAGAGGTTTCTTTTATCAAGTTTACTCTATTGGCCACAAAAGTTTTAAATACTTTATCTGTATTTGCCAGGTATCGAAGAACAGTTGTACTGTCGGTCCAAAAATATGAAGCCGAAATTGGAAGTTTGAGTTCCTTTTTAGAAATGCATCATTTTTAGCAGAAATTGTTGCTGCACAAAGTTCGAGTCGCGGTATTGTTGAACCATTTAAAGGGACAAGTCTGGTTTTTCCACTTATAATAGCACAATGAACTTGTCCATACATATTTTGTAATTCTAATGTAGGACACAGCACATATGACTTTTCAGACGCATCTGAAAAAATGATGAAGTTGTATATCGATTATTTTACCAAAATCTTTTGGTGTATAGCATCTCGGTACAATGAAATTCTTAATTTTGGTAAATCAGAAAGCCATTTTGACCATTCTTTCTTCAATTCTGGTGGAATAGGATCGTCCCAATCAAATTTCTTCCTACATAAATCTGAATCAAAACTTTCATAGGTTGAAGAACTGACTGACCGAAACCAAGAGGATCAAAAATAGAATTAATAGTTGACAACAATCCTCTTTTTGTAGCAGGTTTATCCTTATGTTTGACACGAAAGCACAAAGTATCTTGTTCTACATCCCAAATCATGCCAAGCGCCTTTTCCACTGGCAGGTCATCCACTGAGAGATCCAATCCTTTGACATCTTTTGCACGATGCTCTTCCGGAATTGACAGCAAAACAGCTCGATCATTACTGACCCATTTTGTTATTTCAAATCCACCTTTGGATACTAAATTTCTTACATTCTTGACATGATCTATAGCTTCCTCAGCATTGGGTTTTGAATCCAAAAAATCATCAACGTAGAAAAGCATCATAAACAGCATTCACAGTGCTTTCATTAAAATCTTTCTTTATTATCTTCAGCAGTCCTTTTCAAGGCAAAATTGGCACAACTCGGTGAGCAGATTGTACCAAAAAGAAATGAAGTCATTCTAAAGCAGGCCACAGGTTGTGAGACATCGCCATTGCGCCACCAAAGAAATCTCAAAAAATCTCTATGAGTTTCGGAAACTTTCACTTGGTGAAACATTGCTCGGATGTCTCCTTGAATTGCAACGGATTGTTTTCGAAAACGAGCCAGAACACCAACCAAATTATTTGCAAGGTCTGGCCCCTGTAACAGAACGTCATTCAAACACAGTCCAGAAAATTTAGCTGAACAATCAAATACAACACGAAGGCTTTTCTTTTCTGGGTGGCGCACTCCGTGGTGACTAAGATACCAAGTTTTACCATCACATTCTCCTGAATTGTTGACCTTCTCTGCATAACCATTATCAATCATATCTTTTACAAAACTTTTGTATTCATTGTAGAAATCTGGTTCTTTCAAAAATCGTCTTCTGAGATATTCTAATCTTTGTTCTGCATGACTTTTGTTTTTTGGCAAAATCACATAAGGATTTTTAAATGGAAGATCAATTTCATAATGTCCATCCGTTGTCAAATGAATAGACTTGTTCACTCTTTCCATGAAAATTTCTTGATTAGGGGAAAATTCTGGTTTTTCGTTTTGTATCGAATCGACCACTTCAGTGCACATTTTACAAAGTGGGTGCACACTAGATTTGACAAAAAAATTAGAATTTGATCTTTCAACTTTCTTAGTTTTGGGAGGACAGCTAATCATCCATCCAGCAGGGCATCTCACAGCAAAATATTCATCTGGCCCGTGCACAATTTCCAATGGCTTATGTAGAGCAAAATTATCTTTTCCTATCAGCAAGCCAACTTCTTGATTTAGCCTGGGAATTACCACATCCTTGAATTCATGAAACTGATCCACATCCTTCTGTGTTGGAATATTTGAAACATCAATATCGATACATTTATTAGAAAATAATTGACCCAATGCAATAAAATCAGATTCATCAAAATGGGATAGCTCAATGTCGTTAATAACAGAGCTTTTCTTTTGTTCAGTCACATTTGAAATAGTACGAATATTTAAATTTGTTTCCTGACCAGTGGCATTCAATCTTTGCATGAGCGCTTCACTCATAAAAGAACATGTTGAGCCAGTGTCTAAAAAGGCATTTGTTAACACAACATCATTCTGTCCCTTCACACGTACCTTGACTGGAATTACGTTTAATAACACTCTTGCTTCACTGGCAGAATTCACAAACGCACTAAATTTATTTTCTTCTCTGTTTTCATTAGTATTTTTTGATACAGAAGCATCATCAGCAGGCTTATGATGTTCAGATTGATCATCCGCATTTACATTATCTGGAGGGTGCAAAAGCGTAGTATGCTTTCGCTTACAATTCGGAACTCTGCATGGGTTCTCGCGTCTGCACTGCCTTGACCTGTGCCCTTTTTGTAGACAAGAAAAACATAATTTCAAATCCCTCACAAATCTTTCTCTGTCCGCATGTTTCATGTTCCTAAACTCTTGACATTGATTCAGGAAATGAGTGCCACTGCATTTAAAACATTTAGGAATTGGTTTGTCAGCAGCGGAGACAGTTGTAGTAAAATATGATTTGTGTTGCTTCATTAGTTTATTTGCAAATTCTCTGGGTTTTTGAACATTATTTGTTTCAGGATTAGAAAGATTTGACAATTCCCTCGTTTTCTTACGCACATATGACACGAGATGTGCTAAGCTCACGTCCTTTTCTTTCACATGAAGAGTATCATCCACCAAAGTTCGCCAACCTGGCCTCCAAACTGATGGCATTCTCCACGATATTTTATCAATAATCATCAAAGACAGACCTTTATTTTCAATACCTTTTAATGTATTTTCACATGCAATCAATTCAGCAGCAAACATTGTTAAAGCTTCCAGGTCATTGGTTCTAAGTTGCGGGCCTTCTATAATAGAATTCAAACATGCCTGTTCAATTTGCAATTTATGGCCATAAGTTTCTGCGAGTAATTTCAACGCTTCATCATAGCATGCCGAACCTTTATGTTGGCATCCTTTTACTAGAGCACGAGCAGTGCCTCTTGTGTATTGTAACAGATAAACAAATCTTTGTTTTGCATTCTGCACCTTTGCAGCAATAACGGTATCAAAAATGTCAATAAAGTCGTGGTATTCACCAGGATCACCAGAAAAAACTGGAGGTTCTGTTGGAGGTAAATTTGCTTGCTGGGGCACATAAATCACTTGTGGTGTTGATTGTATTGGTCCCTGGCTTGGCTGGGGTATATTAATTTGAGTAGCTTCTTCATTAATAATTGGCATTGTCAGTCTATTGATGTCACCAGTGACTGCCTGTGACATGTTATAAATTGGAATTGTACCTGTATTTGAACTAAAATTGCTAGCAAAATCAGTGCAAGAATAAGTCATGCAATTACTGGTAAGTGCATTATTACCGGTAGTAGAAGCAGCAAAATAACTTGAGCTAGCAGTACAGGTAGGGCATGCAGCATATGAACTCATACGAATAGGCTGAATTTGATTTGCAAGCACATTTACTGGATTCACAGCAGAATTAATTTGTTTAGGAATTGTTATTGAATTATTAGCATTATGAGATGCAGTACTAGTCACAACCATACATTCATTCACACCAAGCACACTGGTAGTATGTGGACGACAAATTTCAAAACCAGTGGAGGATGAATAAACCGACATACCTCGATCGCCACCAATAGCAGGCACGGAAAGCGAAACATCCCCCAACGTGTAACTTGGCTGATTTGCAGTTGTTAACATGGTCTGAGATGGCATAGTAGATTGAATATTATTTCCAATTGTAGCAGGAGAATCAGATCTTATTTCAGGTGGAGATACATTCTGTATCTCGTTACTATTTGACACATTTGTGTACAGGTACAGGCAAGTAACAGTTCACTTCCATTTGTATCGGAAATAGCAGGAAGGTCAAAAGTTAATACCTTCTTATGACATTGAAGAAATCCATTAATTATAGGTGAAACAGGTTTATTAAATATTTTCTCATCGTTCTTATTTTGTCTAAACTCCATAAGTTTCATTATCTTGAGTACGAACTTTATTGCCAGTTACATTACAGTAACTGCACATTTGTTTGCGTTTGTAACCCATTGTATGGAGTTAGCAAATACAAATGGCTCAATGTACTCAAAAATCTATATACTTTTTGTTAGATAATATATCCGCTAAACAAAAAACGAGAATATCGGTCGGAGAACGAAGACTATCGATCGACCACAAAAAAAACGAACTATTTAATTAATTAATAACTCGCTAATGATATAAAAAATTATTAATTATTTAACTAATACCTCGCTAATTTTACGACATAATTCATCCAATCATTAGGCTTCTGGTCAGAAACATGATGAATGCACATGCAAAATTTGGAGCAGATTCAAACTCGCTTTCGTGAGATATTGCGTGCATCTAACAGACAGATAGACAGACAGTTACCTATCAACATACTTACCGATCAAGATCGATAAGTAAAAAATAAATTACAAAAATACAATAAAGTGTCGCCAAATCGTATTAAATTAGGGAAAATCGGGGGTACCCCTTACCTAGAAATGCATCAAAGAGGTCACACATGACCCTAGATGCCAATCACGCTTCTTAAACCCGTAGATCAGGGGTCGGCCCGCGTAGTAAGAAAAACCGACCCGCGACGCTTTACTGAATTATAGTAACAAAACATCCGTTTTAACGATTATATTTTTCACGTTACACAATTCATTGCGAGACGCGTGTAGACTAAATTATATCATAATCTAATTCTAACAAGTATAAAATTCACAGTTACTCGTTTAATGAGCCTAAAATTTAATTATAATTAGACAAATAGTAACACGAGAATATCGGTTGGAAACCGAAGACTTGTCGATCGAAACTGCAATTCGTGTAACATGTTCATAAGTTGAAAGAAATATATCATTTACTGCACAAGGGGCACAAAGCTCTGCGTGCTTCAGAAATAATAGCTCAAAACAATTCGTGTAAAATAAGACAAAAGCAATTAAGCCACAGTGCCTCACAAGAAATCGAGGATTTCCGTCAAGGCAAAAAACCTCTTTCTAGATCTCAGCAAATTACAAGAGAGTGTCAAAACAGTTTCATTTTTCTTTTTAACGTTTTTAGCATATCCATCAAAAAATCTATATTACATGTAACCAAATTTGGTCTTTCCTTCACAATCTCCTGTAATTGTGATCTAGAAAGATGTTCTTTACCTTTAAGAAAACCCTCTACTCTTTCGTGGTAATACAACCACAGCCTATCAGATTGAGATATTATTCTCTTGCGAGGAACTGTAGTTTTAATTGCTTTTGTCCTCGGAGAATCTCGATCCGAACGAGATTTTCTTTTTCTCGGCGTTTGGTATTTTGAGGAGGTTGATGGTAGGTCCGATGTGTCTTCAGCTGTTTCGGAGTCAGAGTCAGATTGTGTTTCGGAGGGTCCGTAAATTCCGGAGGTCGATGGTATATCAGAGGGGTCAGATTGTTTTTTCCAATAATTTTGTATTCTCTGCCTTCAAGTTTTGAGCTAATATTTCTGAACCACGCAGAGCTGTGTGCCTCTTGTGCAGTAAATGATAGTTTTTACGAGCTATTTCTACTGAATGGCTCAATGCCCTGGCAACATCTCTCTGCTGAGATTCAGGCATACTTGAGGCCAGGGTTTCGGTCATTTTTCTCATTAAAGTAATACTGATACTTTCGCCGAATACTTTTGCCAGTGCGGATCTGACGCACTTGTCGACCCGCATTTGTTTCTTGGAAGGGGTGACTAATGCGTACTCTTTATCGTCTCTGTCTTTGATATTTTGAAACATGTTGACCAGCTAAAAATAAAAATGATTATTGATAGTTTAATATATTTTGTAGTATCGACAGTATTTTACATATATTTGAATATTAGGGTATACTTTGTAGAGTTGTGAGTCCATGGTTGAATATATCCTGTTATTTAAAGTTGTATGTACATATAAAATTATATTCCAATGGAAGCGAATGCATTTATGAAGTTTTCTTACCTTTAAAAACATTTCGTAGTCTTCTCGTGACATTGTGAGAAACCCTACTTCGTCTTTAATTTTTTGCTCTTCCATTATAATTTGTAACAATCTTTGGTCTTCATATTCCCTGGCCTGTTTGAGCTCGCCAACCTTCATACAGGAAAAGTAGCCAACTCCCCCGCCGCGTTAGGGGATATGGGTGAATATTCGTCGAGTAATATGTTTCTGAAAAGTTATTTGGGAAATAAATTATTTTTTTGTAAATTGTAAAACTAGGTTAAACATTTAAAAATGTATAATTAAAATTTAAAAAAATGTTGTATTGTTAATACTACCAAATAAATTTGTCACAATAAGGGGAATTTTGCAAAATCGATCATTTCACAAACCTTAACAGATTGGGCTATGATAGAATTTGAATTTCATGTACCGATTGCTGCCGGTATATCAAAGCCCAATTTTTTTTTTTTTAATTTTTAATTTCTCGTTAACCAATATCGCCTGACACATCACTCAGGGCTCGTTGGAAGCTATGTTTTGTTTTCTACACGCTAGATGTCGCTCCTGGACCATTATTCGTACGACGTCACGCTTATGCTTGAGTAAGCATCAGCTTGTGAACAAACAATCAACCTTTTTCAATTCCTGCCGAACGCGTCATTCTTTATCATAACAGCACTCTCGCATGTTTGGTATCGTTGATTTCCTAGTTGTTATAGCAACAGAATGAGACCGTAAGAGGTCTCATAGCTTACGCCGTCGCATAGTGAAGACGTGTTATGTTTGGGTAGGTCATGTCTTCGCGTCAGGTTGTGCGACATGAGAAATGTCCGATTCCACTGAATCATTTGCATCTGAATGGTTAGGAACAAATTTTTTGTTCTCTGTTTGCCAGAGAACACTCTCTAACGAATAACTGCGACCGAGACGTAATGTGATAGTATATCTTCCTACTACTGCATAGCACATTTCGTAATGTGATAGTATATATTCTTGGAGTATTTGGTTGTATTAAGTTTTAAGTCTGGAATCCAGCCCAATTGCCTTCATACCCAGACTATGCCGACGGAAGTTATATGGATCCCTTCTCTTTGCCATAGAGATCACCATTTTATATACCACATGAAGAGGTAGTCTTCCATTCATCACATCCGCTATAAGTAGGATGGTATTATCAAGTTGAGTTTTATGCCATCAACTGGGCAGTTTGCTTTACGCTCGATGTTTAAAGGCCGAATTAAATGTCCAGATTACAGAATTTTGATTTGTGGGGTCCGAATTAACTTACAACTATTTTTTCTTTTTGCCAACAAGTCTAAATTCTAAAGTGGTTGAAAATGACGAGTCTGATGACGTTTCTTCACGGCTTCTTTTAATAGCATAATCCGAATTGTCAAGATTTGTGGCAGGTAAGTCCACGGTTTTGGATTTTGATTTGTTGTATTCTAGATTAGCCGGTGCGGAGGATATTTCACCAGGTGCAGTGGAGAAGACGGAAGATGTTGTTAAGTCCGGTGGCTGGATGTTGTGCACCATCACTTTTACATAAGGGTTGCCTTTGGATGTAGGATGAAAAGGGGTGTTTCCAATCGTCGATGACTGTTTGAGTCTGGAAGATTGCCTTGTTTGTTTGAGTTGCGGCTGACTCGGCGGTGTTGACAGAGGGCTTATAATTATAACGCTTCCCACATCCTCGCACTCCGACCAGTTGCTGATTTCTTTTAAGTCGGTTGATTCGGTGGAAGAGGAAAATTCGATTACATTCGAGGTTGGATCAATCCTGTTGTCATGCGGAGTAAGAGTGGTCGATTCAGGTTGTAAATCCATTTGATCGTTTGGTATATCCGGTTTTGTAGGTTGTACGGCATTTTGGTTGTTTTGTAAATCCGAAATTAGTCCAGGTTGTGTAGCATTTTGAAAATCCGAAATTAGTCCAGGTTGTGAAGCATTTTGTAAATCCGATACTGTTGCAGGTTGTGAAGCATTTTGGTTACTTGGTTGTTCCGAAAAAGGTGGGTTTTCTGATTGCTGTTTTCGACGTCTTGGAAAGGTCCATGTAGATCCGGAAATTGATGGAAATTCTTTCCTTCTGGATGGACACTCTTTCAAAAGATGGCCCAGTTGTTTGCAGTAGCGACAGACTGGTTCGCTTTTGCATTCGGTGAAGTTGTGACCGGATTTCAAACACCTACCACAGGTTGGCACGTATGATTCCCTGGGCAGGTAAGTTTTGCAGCTTTTCCCGTCGATGACCAAGTAATCTGGTAACCTGTCCTTTTTAAAATTTTCAATAAAAAAGGAAGTGTATCCGTTATAAATGGACGTACCTCTGTACCAGTTTCTGGTGGCATTCCGGACTTTTCCGCACTGCAGTCGTTCGATTGTCGACACGGCCTTGCTGTAGGAAGTTTCACCCGGTATCCCTCGAATGGATATTCGGACTGGTGCTTCGGTTGGCAGCGATACCGTAATAGCACCGTCTGAAACTCTTATTTCACCCTTTGTGTCGTGCAAGAATTGCTCGCGACAGCTAGAGTTGGGGTCGTCGGTGGCGGCAAAAGTACATATCCACTGACCTTTTCTTCCCTCAAACAGTCCCGTGATGTTGTTGACGTAGTTTCGGGACGCTGAGTCGGTCTTGAGGATGTCGAACAGTCGAGGGAAGTCCAGGTCTTTGGTGGTTGTCAGGAACAGAGTGCGAGGTCGTGTAGTCGGTGCAGTCGTTTCTTCGCTTGTAGGTGTGTAGGCGTTGTTGAGGCGGCTTCGGCGTAGTTCATCTTCTTCTTCCTTTTTTTCTTGGTTCGTTGCTGTCGAGGGCCTAACCCGGTGAGGGGTTGCCTTAATCAAAACTTTCCTATTATGACGCATGAATCGATATGACTCGCTCGAGTTCAATCCCGTCATATTTATATTACTAGCCAATTCCCACGCGGAAATAATCCACGCAGATATAATACTATTTTTGCTTAAATTATGTTTTTTTCTCAAGATAATAAATAAACTAAAATTACTAATTATAATTATTAAATATATGCCATCCGGCTGTAATGGGTTTTAGGAAATAATATAGTACTTACTCAATGACAGGTCCCAATAGTTTATCCATCCGTGCCTGGTCTGTCACGTTCTTTAGCAAAGTTTTCTGCTTCTTCTGTCTGCTAGCAGACGCGGAAGCCAAAGCTATCCCATCAATCAACCCTTCAATGATGGATAAATAAGCGCAATCACCACCGCCATCGTGAGTGAACGGGTTGATAAGATTACAAACCTCAAGCAGCAACGAACTCCAGATGTTCCGGAATTTCATCTTTCATCAGGTTTATATTCCGTGCTTTCCACCCCCAAATAAATCCCTTCATGAATTAGGTTGCAATGCCAAACCACTAGAATTAGATCGATGCATATCATTGGTTATATCGATTATACAAGCAATTGTACGTAAAAAATCACTCACAATTCCAGTTTCAATTTCCCCGTACTTTCTAACTTCAGCCAATAGTTCTACATTGAAATTATTTGCAGTTTGCCGGATGCGAAATGTTTTTGAATAAACTATAATAAGGGGAGTCCATCGAGTTGCTAAGTTCGCGATCGATCTGTAATAGCACATGTACATACATACAAGTCCTAAGAGGACATCGTTATCATCAGCTTCATCCGGCTCATTTGAGCCTCATTGCCCTGTTCAAATTCATGCTGTCAAAGGACATCGCCCGTTACAATTAACATGCTAGTGTGCAATTTAAACGTTTGTGTAACGACGCCGTATTTAGTTACTTCGGGACCGTACCAGCCGAGAAGTCTGAAGCCTCTATGATGTTCCAATGCTTCAGCCATGTGGTATCCCATGTCCATCAATGCAACATCTTTACGTTGTGGAACAACCAACAGGTACGCACTAAATACTGCTAACGCAAGCGCGTTACTTCCATATGGAACCCATTCCGCTTCTTATCAAGGCACCTGGAAATTGACCTGCGGCACAAGTCGACACCCTATTGTCGAAGTGCAATGCACCTCGGGCAGTAGTCGTGACTGCATCCTGTTTTGAAATTTACAAAAATAATGTTTTTTTCTTCTCAATTTCCAGACAAAAGCTGGCCATGTTGCCGTTCTTCGTCAGAAGTTTCTTCATGATCAATACACCCTATCGAAAAGCTTGTGATGCACATTTAAATCCTTTCAGAAAAACTGACCGCCCGAGACCGCGCAAGCTCGCTTCTTTTCAATACAAAACAGTGATTGTTTCGCACGACTTCGTGGTGTAGTTCTAAATATTATGCCAGACGTTTTGTTAGACAACGGTGGGTTTGAGGAGTTAATTGTGATTATACATTTTGTCAAAACGCATGTGCAGTCTGTAATACGTCGCAAAAAAATAACCTATTCTGCTCTGGTTTTAATTCCTGTTGGGATTTTTGTCGATAGAGGAGTAGCTCGCTGAATGTGCAGGGCACGTCCCGTGATTTTAAGTTTCCTTTTTCTTTCTCCACTCAATATTGCATGGAGGGTGACCTCTTGAATTCGCCTGTCAACAATTTGTTAAACATGTTCATAACCTTTGCCGAGAATGTCCAAGAGAACGTTAGACATTATTTCTGTTATTTCTTTCAGAATAATTACGAAAATAGGCAGTTGTCTTCAGTGTCGCAGCCAGGGGAGAGGGGGTTCAGGGTCGCCTAGTGTTTTCGTAGGCGTTACGTGATTATTTAGTCCATATCATCTTTATATCGGTTTCGTAAATTTTGTAAAACAAGCGGGACTTGTAATCAGTTTTCGTCGCGTCTAGTTTTTTTTTTGGCAGAAAAGTCGTCAATTAACTTTTCCGTTGAGCGCATCTGAATTTTCGGTGACCGCTAATTGTGTTGCTATATAAGGGTATAAACAGCAACACAATAAACAATCACCGAAGATGCAGACTAAACCACAATCACCAATGAACAAAAGAAAATGAAATAAATTTCACAGAAGGAAATCATAATGAAAATTATGACCCCAGTGTTTGCTCACATCGACGACTCAAAACTGTAGTGGCCTATGTCAAATTTTGGCGATATGAAACAATCGCTTTTGAAAGTTCCGAAAAAAAATCTCATTTTGAGATGAACATCGGGCTATAAAATCTGCATTTTTGAACGCTAAAAAGAGACGCTGCATAATTCGTGTATACATATCGATTTTTTATAAAGAGTATAAACTAACAAGTCATAAAGTGTATAAACTAACAAGACATCCCATAGGGCCAAATCAGTATAAAAACAAAATAAACAAAGTGGACACACGAAAATTACAAAGGTCGGCATAAGCACTTTTTCATTTTGAGCAGTCTATGTAGGATCATTTTTTTTCAAGTCCAATGCAGCCAACAATGAGGCCACTGAAGGTTTGGGATCCATGCCGAAAAGAATAGCTTCAAAAAAAATGAAGAAAGTTGCCAGTTTTTCATAGTACTCAATTCCAAAAATCCAAAACGAAGTGAACAGTCTATAAAAAGCCAACAATGATGAATTTCCAACTGGCACCGCTTTCTTGTCAAGAATTAAGAAGAATTCCTCAAGATCAGATTTCGGACCAATGACCAATAAAAATGGCTGTCTCAATAATGGAGGCTTGGTTTCAGCATAATATCCAACGTTGCAGCCGGCCTGAATAAAAAAGAATGAATAAGTTTCCAAGGGATGTCATCACTTTGAAAACTCATTCAGAAACATGTCATGTTGCATCTGCTATGGTATTTTGCAAACAAGTTAGGAAACATAGTACGCACCCCCTGAAACTTAAATAATGCTCACTGCTCTTGTCCTTTCTTCCCCTTTGTCTTGAGAGGTGGCAAAATCTTCGACAGAACTAGAAGACTCTTTAGTCCATCTAAAATGTGTCAAGTACTCGAAATATGCTCTCACACAAAAAACATAGATATAATAAAGCTATTTCACTGCCGCCCAGTTGGCAATGTGGCAGCCAAGTCAACCAGTATTTATACATAGAATATCAGTAATATAAAGCATAAAGCACATACCATCATCACACTGAACACAATCCTGATCCATTTTAAGAATTTTTTGAATGAGTGTTAGAATAATTTCCATAAACTTCTTACACTTCGGGTAATTCATCTCAAATTCACAGTCAATCTGAGTCCACAAGAAGCACATGTGAAAAAAAAGATGCTTTCTATATCCGTACTTCTTAAAAATATCTTGATGTGATGAATACAATAATAAACAGCCTATGTACATTGCACTTTACATCTAGATTTATTGCTAACTTACCAATCCACCCTCATAAGCATCACAGAACCTTGGGTACTTTTCTAAAATGTCAGTTAAGGTCATAGGCTTCAGCTGTATTTCAAGCCTACGATAGTCATGACTTTCCTTCATTATGTTATATATTTCTGGCTTATTGTCCTTGTTAGGTGTGGTTTCTTTCAGCCATTTAATCTGAAAAGCAATATACATATAAAATATTCCAATAAAATACTAGCTGCGGAGAAATAAAAATAACCACATATAAAAAAATCAGAAATTTCCCACCTTTTTCAGTATAGGGCTATCGTCTTCCAGAAGTGAGGCATCCAGTTCAACAGTACTCCCACTGGTGTCAGCATCTTCGCTACTCCCAAAACTGGAACTACTTGCATATGTTGAGTGGCTTCTCTTTTGTTTTTTATACATCTTATCTTCCATTTGTTTTCGTAAAGTTTTGAGCTTGTTTTCTATAAAGCCGGAACCAGAAGAGGATCATAATAATGGCCCTAAAAACATTTTTAGCAATTTAACAATAACAACAAAAGAGCCCTAATGACAAAGCTGACAGAGAGCAGACTTGAAGTCAGTAAACACAGAATCATATTCAACACCCATTTTGTCAACTTCAGAAGAGAGGAATACAGCCTTGATGACAAAATATTGTGTACAAGATTCATGAGATTGACTAATGCCGTGTAGGGAAAGCGAAATTATCTCAAAATGAAAATACGTACATATCCGGTTGTTCCCTCTAACTTCAACTTCAGCTTTGAAAAAAGTACCAGCGTACATTCGTTAATTCCACCCTTGCACCGTAACTTCAAACGAACGCAAACTTTCTACGCTCTTCAATAATAAATCTTCTGGAAAGTGGCTCCCATATCGGGCATGTCATGAATTTCAGTTGATTCAGGAATTCATAGATCTGTATTATCAGTTGCCTCACGTCGAGATTCTAATACTAATTGGTGGAATTTTCTCACATGCCGTAAAAAATTGTCAAGTCGAGTAAAGGTTGTGCAACATTGATTTTGAGAACAAGTAATATTTATATATTTATTCTTTGACAGATCATGTTGGTGACGTAAATGAAGTGATAGTTCATCTGTCCGCCTCATCTTACATTCACAACCTTCCATTGGACACAAATAAAAATTCATTATGAGGCTCGAAAGGGACTAAAACAAATAACAGTATATATACCAGGCCTATAGCTGTGCAAGCAGTGTGATAAAAGTACCAATTTAATACTGCAATGAGTTATCGGTAACTGTTTAAGAAAGAAAGAGATGGCAGACTGACATAGGCTAGTTGTACTGTTTTATAGACCCAGTAGACTGCAGTCATCAGGTTGTAGGCCTGGGTGTCTGTAACTTGAGCTAACAGCATGTAGCCTACTTCAGACATAAAGTTAACTTAACAGTCAGACAGTAGGCCTACCGGTAGCTTAGGCCGGCAGACCTAACTTGGCTCAGTAGCCAGTTGTGTTATACTGCAGTTCATGCTCATTTCGATAATCTTATTTGAATCCACTGCTAGCAATCACTTACCGACAACGGACAACCGCTCCGAAACTGTTAGCACTGTCAGAATGTAGCAGGTGAAAGCTAAATTCCATTCTCTCATAACAGCAATTCACTCTGTAATCCAACT